CCTGTAGATGTTATATATATTTCTACTGAGATCCTTTGAAGTAGAAGTCTATCCCCCTGTTCTGTTTCTGTGTAGAAGGTCTACCACTTCCTCCTCCTCGTGCTCCTCCTCCCTGTGGAAAAAGAAGTACTGGAGTATACGTAGCTGTTACATATTGTATGTGATATTTGTGAAGGTTAACACTAAGGAGACTCATAGCTTAAGATATCCAGGGAGAGGTTCAATTGAAATACTGAATTGAATTAGAACAGGACTTGTAGAAATGTTTCATTTGTCAAAATAGATCACTGATGTATCATTGCCAGCATCAGCATCACAGAATCTGTCAGACACATGCATTGCCAGTACAGTATCAACAAAACACATTACCAACCTTATTTGATTAAGACACTACAAATGAAACCCAAATCCAGGAACTATCTTCATGAACAATCCAACAAGTTATTATCAGTAGATGTAGCCGTTTCCATGTTTCTTCCCTACATACTTGTAATTATTTAAACAGCAGGGTAGACTTAAGCTGCAGTATGGTTACCTTTGATTTGCCAATGTGCCTACTCCATTCTGGAGCCACCACAATAGGATTTGGGTAGGTTTCTCCTAGGGATACCTCAGCACTGGACAGGGTGGCAGGATTGAGTGTCCACACAGTGTGGACTGCCCCACCCTTCACTTTCTCTAACTCTGGGACCCACAGGCGAACGTAATCTCCCTACAATACAAACCATGCATCCTGTTTGGGAACTCGTTTTTCGAAACTTTAAAATGTTTTACATCATAATGGCTCAGGTTCCGAAACATAACCCAAATGTTTTACATCATATTGGCTCAGGTTCAGAAACCTAACATCATTTCAATACACAAGTCATTAAAATGTCATCCTGATTAGTTGAAGAAAATTAACAAAATTTCTACAAATATTGAACAACTTACCTCAGGATCATAGTCAAATCTATGTTTGATCAGGGTGAACTAACCTCAGGATCATAGTCAAATCTATGTTTGATTATGCAGAATGAACCTCAGGGTCAAAGTAAAGTCCCCATTTGACCATCTTAGAATCCTACCATGGTCATGTCTATATTTGACCATGTCAAACTATCCTCAGGTCATAGTCAAATATATGTTTGATCATGTAGAACTAGACTCAGTATCATAGTCATGTCCCTGTTTGACCGTGTTGAACTAACC